ACAAAATCACAGTGAAGTGACCTGTGTCTTTAAGGCACTGACAACTAATTTGATGGAAAATAAATGGACATATGAAAAAGTAATGAAAGAGGGAGGTGGTGCTCCTTACAATATGTAAATCTGTGGGAGCTCAGAAGAGGTCAGATCTGCAGGGGAATGGAGTGGCCAGGGCAAAGTTAGTGACTGAGGAGGGCAAGGAAGGAACCAGAGGGGCAGAAAACATAGGGGAGAAGAAAGAGCAAGGAAAGAAGAAAGGCCTATGAGAGTGGGATCAAGGAGGCAGACAGGTGTGGAGGAACTGCTGCCAGGATAAATGTAGTTTTCAGCAATGGATTATTAAAAATCAGAAAATGACTTCTTTACTTATTTAGTGAGTAAAAATATCTCTTGGTACTCAGAAGGGAAAGGAGGGGCTGTCACATGCAGAGCCTTCTGGATGCCAGGTCCACCGCCTCTTTCCCTGTGCATGAAAGGAATGAGCACATGTTTTTAACGTGTCTCCCCGAGAGGAAAGGAAAGTTCTGATTCACCCTGTAACAAGCCCTTTGTGGGAAGGCACAGTCTGTAGAGTCAACAGACATCAAAGAAGATGTTCACTACTTTGGATCTTGGGCTTAGCCTGGAACTGCTGAAACCCAGTCACCAGGGGTGTGATGTGCGGGGAAGAGCCGCGGCTCTGCAGTGAGACTAACTTTTCGTTATTAACCTTGGGCAAAGCTCCTCCCTCTTTGCTTTAGTTTCTTCATCTGTAAATGGGGAACATGCTTGTCCCATGAAACAACTGAGAATTAAGTGAGCTAAATTAGAACATTGCTTGAAATAGGGCATGCATGTAAACAATAGCAGCTGTTACTATAGGGTTTACATTCTAGAAAATCAAGCTTAGGGTAGATGTGTGGAGCTCGTCATTCTAAAGCTTTGTTCAACCCGCGAACTCCAGCGCAGCGAGTGCGCACAGCGAGCTGGACTTCAGGCTACAGAGACACGGTGGCCGCTTACAGGGAGCCTCAGTCTGCTGCCCTGGGTTACAGCCCGTGGATTTGCAGATCTGGTGTGTTCAGCCTACTGAATTAAATTCCCTTTGATTACAGGAGGATGTCGACAAAGCAGTGAAGGCCGCAAGACAGGCTTTCCAGATCGGCTCCCCATGGCGCACCATGGACGCTTCCGAGAGGGGGCGACTGTTGTACAAATTGGCTGATTTGATCGAGAGAGACCGTCTGCTGCTGGCGGTGAGTATTAACCCAACGGGACAGGCAGATAGAGCTCTTGAAAGCACTCGTTATTTTTATTGGCAGGCCGTTTTAGTTTTAGTGATCACCATGTGCTCTTTACAGAGAGATAGATTTTGTCTCCCAGCTCTGGTGTGTGACTCTTAACCTCTGAGTCCATTGTCCAATAGTAATCTCTACTCCACTTCTAGGTGATGTGAATTTCTGCTGCCCTAATAGGTTCTACAGTCTGAACTTTGGCAAACCCCAAGTTAAACTAAATTAAAGAAATTGCTTTCCTTTACCTGAGAACTTCTTCTCAAAGCCCTGAACAGGGCCGCATGCAGTTTGAATCTCCTGGAATGGTGCAGTGGATTTCTGAAAGTCCTGGACTACTAACTTAATCCTTTTAGTTGAAAAACTCATCATGTGTTCTAGGTGCCCAAAATAGTTCTCTAAAATAAATCCTATTCCTCTTTAGTCTAGCCCACCAAGAGATTTAATAAATGGCTACTTTTCCCGTTCCTGAAATGTCTGTTCACAATTGTCATAATTAAATCATGTTCTTTTTATAGGTGAAAAAGGCAAAGATTAAAGACAAAAAAAAAAATCTAATGATTGATGTGTTTATAAAAATAGTTTCTTTTTTGTTTATATTTTAGCAGATGGGTGAGTCAGTGTATAATATCCTTGGTAAAGGTTTATTTTTGTTTTTGTCTTCTCAGTTGGGCAACACTGAAGCCAATTTAACACAAACCAATACCAAGATCAGGTTCCACAGTAAATCTGTATTACCTTTATTATCTGAAAGTGGCAGTAACAAAGCAGCCTACTTTTTAAAAAGATTAATATCAGCAACCATTGTTAAAGAACCATTTTTGCTCATTGATGATTTAGTATAATTCAAAATATGCAAAACTGTGGCACCAGAGGCTGTGTGCAATAAAGCTGTATTAACCAAAATGTCCTGTAGGAAGACAGCAGGGTTTGCTTAAACTTGGCTTCTCTCATTTATCTGGTCTGTTTGTTGCCTGTTAGCATAAGATCCTGTGGGGAGTTAAGTACAGTCCCACAAAACTTATGTTTGACTAAATTTAGAGATGGTAGACAGTATAATACAGAGGCAGGACAGCTCAGCTCAGGTCTGACTAAGAGTAGGTGGCCTCGTTCCTTGATGTGCAGATATTAAATAGTGATTGATTCCTAGAAAGTTTGTTAGCTGGGAGACATTCAAAGTGAGATCTAAAGAGCACTAGTCTTTACAAACCGAAATGTTACCACCTTTTGTACCCAAATCTTGCTATTTGACCTCAAGAAAGTCACTTTTAACTTTTTTATGATTTAAGATTTCTTCTGTTTTCAAAATTCTCTAGTGCATGATTATTTAAAATATTGGCTATACCTATAGTTTTAATGTAAAACTTTTGATGGAATTTCCGATTTGGAATTATTCTCTTTTTCAGACAATGGATGCACTAAATGGTGGAATGCTATTTTCCAGTGCCTATGTCATGGTTGTAGAAGTCTGTGTGAAAATTTTACACTACTACGCAGGCTGGGCTGACAAGATCCAGGGCCGGACAATACCAGCGGGTAGGTACCTCTGGGAAACCACTGGGGGTGGGAAGACCAGTGAGGAGATTATTGTAGAGCTGAGTATTTTAAACTCTCCCTTTTAAAAATGTCAAAATGTCAAACAAATAAGACAATGTTATTTTCCTCTAGACTTTGAGGAAACATAGTTCTAAACCTGAAAGTTCTGTTAGGATTCATCGGATGTCTTTTTTAATATATATGTGTGTGTGATATATATTTCTTTTTTTTTTTTTTTGGCTGCCAGGAAGACTCAGACCCAATTAACTTTGGATGTGAGGTCCATCAAATAAATGGCTTTTTAAGTTATTTTACTATAATTATGCACAACATAACACTATTGTTATCTTAGAAAATATTAAAGTAACAAAATTGTTACAACCACAATTACTGATGGGAGGTAATTTTCTCTGTAAGGACCTTTTTAAATTTTAAAAGCTGGTTTCTGGAATTATTTATTTGGGTTATATTCTAATCGTGACATTTTTACCCTTTCTATAATGTAATGATTTATACCTCTTTTCACATTCCTGTATGCATCAGTTACAGTCATCTCTTACCTGGTCAAGCTCAGAAGAGTCAGGCCACATGAATTAAATAAACTAATTCACATTGATTTGTTTCAAATAGCTTCAGAGGGCAGCACCTGTGGCTTAAAGGAGCAGGGCGTTGGCCCCATATGCCAGAGGTGGCAGGTTCAAACTCAGCCCTGGCCAAAAACTGCCAAAAAAAAAAAAAAATGCAAATAGCTTCAGAACAAAATGGAGCTGTGTTTGCAGCCTGAGTTAGAGACTAGTGTGTATGAACATGTATGTATGTAGTAGAGAATACACCTAATGGAACAGAAATATGAAAAACACTTCATATGAAATGTGAAAAAGTGTCGCTTTGGGAAACACTCCTGGTAGAATTAAATTCATGTAAACCTGAGTTTAGGAATACAATACCCTCTAACCTGACCCTGATGTGCATTTCCTAAATACTTGCAATATTCGATAGGTCTGAAGTGACAGCCAGGAAATTGAAAGAGGAGAAACACAACTCTTCTTGATTGTACCAAGAAACATGACTTTGTTTTGTTTTTGTTTTTGTTTTTTTAAAGAAACATGACTATTAATAATTGTCTCACTTTATGCTGGGACAAAATGATAGAAGTCATGTAAAGTATAAGTAAATCTCAATAAAGAGAATTCTGGTTGAAGCCAGGAGGCTTCTGTAGAGACTAAAACAGAACTGAACACAAAGCACAATGTAACTCTTGAGACGACCACATCAAACTTTGATGCACACGAATCAGTCAAAAAAAAATCTAGATCAAAAATAAATGTCTTTTATTTTGGTCATTTTTTTCATGGATGCAGAAAATTTACTTTTATTGTTTGATAGGCAAATAGAAAATATTTTAGAACAAGCGAGTAGAAAAGGATTATTATTGGGAAGAAATATTATTGGGAAGAATTATTATTGGGAAGAAAATTGGGAGATTTTCTAAAATAACATTTTAAAATTTTATTATTTTTTAAATTTTTGTATAGTACTTTGAAACTCTAGAACTTTGAGCTGATAGAAACATAATTGGATGTAATTTTTCTATTAGCTGAAGACCTCCTACTTCTTATCTCATTCCTTTTTAAAAAAATGTTGAGAACAAAATGATTGAGAAATCAGCCCTCTAAGATGATGAGGGATAAAATTAATTATCTTTCATATCTTTTCCAATTTTTCATTTTGCTTTCATCTAGTTCAATTTTATGGTCTCTGTCATTCCAAATTATGATTTGAGGGCTACATTTTCATTTTGCAAACAGTTGGAGATCTGTTTTACCTTTTAATTTCTCTCTATACTGTTCTCTCCATCAGCCCAAAACCACCACTCTGTGAATGTCAAATACATTCATGTATTTATAATTGTGTGTATATCTGTTTCACTTTCTAGATGGAAACGTTTTTACTTACACAAGACATGAACCTATTGGTGTATGTGGCCAAATCAATCCTGTAAGTTGTTCTAATATATAATTTTAGTTTTAAAAAAAAGTTCTAATTCTATTAGATTTAGTAATCAAGCTTTCTAATACCAATGGATTCTAATACATTTCTTCAATATGGAGTACATTTAGGATTTGTTGAACCCAGTCTTCTGGTGACTTATCATCTTAGATATGAATTAGGTAGTCTATAAATGCTGTCTATCCCCTGGAATGTCTCTTGAGGGCTTTTCAGTACTACAGAATCAACAGATCTTAACCTTTTACCATATAAGTTGTTTTTAATAAATATTATGTCCTCTTTTTAAGAGCCATACTTTACACATATATGGCAAAGTGCTCACCACTGGCACATGAGCTGTGGGTCACCATTTCCCATCTCAGTGAAATGTAGTAGGGCCCACTAGTCTCCAGCACTCTCTCTTCAGTGGGGCTTTTTATCATGAACAATAGAAACAAGCACAGTGTTATAATGCTGAATGGTGTATAGTAATGGGAACAGTTGATTTTCCTCTTCCAATAGATGTGTATGGGGGTGGGCTGCCTTAGGTGCTTGTATCTCTCCACAGCTAAGACTTCACCAGAATCACTGATCCACTAGGATTGGACAAGGACCAGCTGAACACAAGACAGAGCCACCTAACCCCACCATACCAATCAGGTTTCCTCAGCCTCAGAGTGTACAGGTCCTCTGTGAAGCTATAGGGAAAAAGCTGCAGCCATCAATCCCAGATCCTTGACAAAGGGCTGGTTAATTACAACTCTAGAAACTCCCAATTCAATTTCACCTTGCCTGCCCATGTAGCCAATAGTTAAAAACAATCATGGGGCAGAATCAGTGAAAAAACTCTGGCAACATGAATAATCAGAGTAGATCAATTCCCCAAGAACAATATGGTAAATACAGGGCAAGATCCTATTCATAAACAAATGGCTGAGATGTCAGAAATCGTGTTCAGAATCTAGATAGCAAATTAGATCAACAGAATGGAGGAAAGTGTGGAATTAGAATTTCAAGGAATTATTCAAAAGGTGTCTCAAGAATTCAATAACTTCAAAGACAAAATCACCAAAGATTTTGTCACATTGAGGCAAGAACTTGCAGCCCTCAATGATCTGAGAAATACGGTAGAATCCCTCAGTAACAGAATGGAACAGGCAGAAGAAAGGATCGCTGACATTGAAGACAAAGCTTCTGAGTGCTCCCAAATGCTCAATAAGGAAAAAAAGTGGAGAATACAAGTGGATCATTCTCTCAGAGAGCTGTGGCATAATTCAAAGAGATCTAATATTCACCTTTTTGGAATACCTGAAGGGGATGAGGTTGCGGTTAAGGATACAGAAGCTTTACTTTATGAAATAATCAAAGAGAATTTTCCAGACATGACAAAAGATTCTGAAATCCAGATAGCACACAGTTTCAGAACATCGGCACAACTCAACCCAAATAAAAATTCTCATGGGCACACTATAATTAGTTTTGCCAAAGTTAATATGAAGGCAAAAATTCTGCAAGCTGCAAGATGTAAGATCACCATAACCTACAAGGGGAAGAATATTAGAATGACTGCAGATCTCTCTGCTGAAACCTTTCAAGCTAGAAGAGGGTGGTCATCGACCTTTAATCTCCTTAAACAAAATAACTGTCAACCCAGGATCCTGTATCCAGCTAAACTGAGTTTCATCTATGATGGAGAAATTAAATACTTTAATGACATTCACATGAATGAATGAATTCACATGAATGTTGAAGAAATTGGCCATTACTAAACAGGCTCTCCAGGATATCCTCGGACCTATCCTATGTAATGAACAACACAATCCTCCACCACCAAAGTAAACTCATTTAGAAATTCGTGATCAAATTTCAACTTCAACAGTAGTGAAAGGATTAAAAATGTCCACTGGACTTTTGAAAAACTCAATACCCAAAATACTACCTGGTTTATCAATTAATGTGAATGGCTTAAATTGTCCTCTAAAGAGGCACAGGTTGGCTGACTGGATACAAAAACTCAGGCTGGACATCTGTTGCATTCAAGAATCTCACCTTACCTTAAAAGATAAACAACCAATGTAAGGAAGGATAAGGATAGCCATTTCATATTTGTTAAGGGCAACACTCAACTTGATGAGATTTCAATCATCAATATTTATGCACCCATCCAGAATGTGCCTCAATTTATAAGACAGACTCTAACATACATGAGTAACTTGATCTCCTCTAGCACCATAATTGTTGGAGATTTTTACACTCCTTTGGCAGTGTAGGATAGATCCTCCAAAAAGTAGCTAAGCAAAGAAATTTTAGACTTGAACCTAACCATTCAACATTTGCATCTAACAGACATCTACAGAACATTTTATCCTAACAAAACTGAATACACATTCTTCTCATCAGCCCATGGATCATCCTCCAAAATTGATCACATCTTAGGTCACAAGTCTAACCTCAGCAAATTTAAAAGAATAGAAAGCATTCCTTGTATTTTCTCAGACCATCATGGAATAAAAATCGAACTCAGTAACAGGAATATGCATACAAAAACATGGAAACTAAATAACCTCATGCTGAATGATAGCTGGGTAAGATTAAGAAGGAAATTACCAATTTTTTGGAACAAAATGATAATAAGACATGAACTATCAGAACTTCTGGGATACTGCAAAGGTAGTCCTAAGAGGGAAATTTATAGCATTGCAAGCCTTCCTCAAGAGAATGGAAAGAGAGGAAGTCAACAACTTAATGGGACATCTCAAGCAACTGGAAAAGGAAGAACATTCCAACCCTAAACCTAGCAGAAGAAAAGAAATAACTAAAATTAGAGCAGAGCTAAATTAAATTGAAAACAAAAGAATCATACAACAGATCAACCAATCAAAGAGTTGATTTTTTGAAAAGGTCAATAAAATAGATAAACCTTTGACTAACCTAACCAGAAGTAGAAGAGCAAAATCTCTAATCAATCAGAAATGATAAAGGCCAAATAACAACACACTCCTCAGAAATTCAACAAATCCTTAATGAATATTACATAAAACTCTATTCTTAGAAATATGAAAATCTGAAGGAAATAGATCAATACTTGGAAACATGCCACCCTCCTAAACTTAGTCAGAAAGAAGTGGAAATGTTGAACAAGCCTATAATAAGTTCTGAGATAGAATCAACTATAAGAAATCTCCCCTAAAAGAAAAGCCTGGGACCAGATGGCTTTACATCAGAATTCTACCAAACCTTTAAAGAGGAACTAGTACCTATATTACTTAACCTTTTTCAAAACATTGAAAAAGAAGGAATATGTCCCAACACATTCTATGAAGCAAATATCACCCTGATTCCCAAACCAGGAAAAGACCCAACAAGAAAAAAACATTATAGACCAATATCTCTAATAAATATTGATGCAAAAATGTTCAATAAGATCCTAGCAAACAGAATCCAACAACACATCAAACAAATTATACTTCACAACCAGGTGGGTTTCATCCCTGAGTCCCAAGGATGGTTCAACATATGTAAATCCATAAATATAATACATCACATAAACAAATTAAAAAATAAAGACCATATGATTCTCTCTATTGATGTAGAAGAAGCTTTTGACAATGTTCAGCATCCTTTCCTCATCAGTATGCTTAAGAAAATAGGTATAGAACGAACATTTCTTAAACTGATAGATGTCATCTACAACAAACCCACAGCCAATATCATATTGAATGGAGTAAAATTGAAACCATTTCCACTCAGATCAGGAACCAGGCAAGAGAAAGCAATCAAGGGGATCCAAATAGGACTAGAGGAGCTCAAGCTGTCACTCTTTGCAGACGATATGACTATATATCTGACAAATCCCAGGGAATCAACTACGAAACTCCTAGAAGTGATAAAGGAATACAGCAACATCTCAGGCTACAAAATTAACACTCACAAATCTGTAGCCTTTATATATACCAATAATAGTCAAGGGGAAAAATCAATCATGGACTCTATTCCCTTTACACTAGTGCCAAAGAAGATGAAATATCTGGGATTGTATCTAACTAAGGATGTGAATGACCTCTACAAAGAGAACTATGAAACCCTCAGAAAAGAAATAGCTGAAGATGTCAACAAATGGAAAAATATACCATGCTCATGGCTGGGAAGAATCAACATTGATAAAATATTGATACTACCTAAAGCAATCTACAGATTTAAGGAGATCTCTATTAAAGCTCCTCTGTCATACTTTAAAGAACTGGAAAAATTAGTACTTCATTTTATATGGAAACAGAAAAAACCTCAAATAACCAAGACATTACTCAGAAATAAAAACAAATCAGGAGGAATCATGCTTCCAGACTTTATACTATAAAGCAATAGTGATCAAAACAGTATGGTACTGGCACAAAAACAGAGAGGTAGATGTATGGAACAGAATTGAAGACCAAGAGGTGAACCCAGACACTTATCATCATTTGATTTTTTATAAGCCTATTAAAAACATAAGTTGGGGAAAAAATTCCCTATTCAACAAATGGTGCTGGGTGAATTGGCTGGCGACCTTTAGACAATTGAAATTGGACCCACACCTTTCTCCTCTAACAAAAATTAACTCTTACTGGTTAAAGAACTTAAACTTAAGACATGAAACAATAAAAATTCTTAGAGAGAGTGCAGGTGAAGCACTTGAGAAAATTGGCCAGGGAGAATACTTTATGAAGAGGACACCCTGGGCAATTGAAGCAACATCAAAAATACATTACTGGGATCTGATCAAATTAAAAAGCTTCTGCACTGCCAAGAATACACTAAGTAAAGCAAATAGACAGCCTCAGAATGGGAGAGGATTTTTGCAAGTTATATATCTGAAAAAGTTCTAATAACCAGAATCCATAGAGAACTCAAATTAATTACTTAAAAAAAAAAAAACCCAAACCCCAAGTGATCCCATTTCATTGTGGGCATGAGACATGAACAAAAGCTTCTCTAAAGAAGATAGGTGCATGGTCTACAGACACATGAAAAAATGCTTATCATCATTAATCATCAGAGAAATGCAAATCAAAACTACTCTGAGATACCATCTAACTCCAGTAAGAATAGCCCACATCACAAAATCCGAAAACTACAGATGTTGGCATGGATGTGGAGAAAAGGGAACACTTCTTCACTGCTGGTGGGAATGCAAACTAATACGTCCCTTTTAGAAAAAAGTTTGGAGAACACTCAAGGATCTAAAAATAGACCTGCCATTTGATCTTGCAATTCCTCTTCTAGGTGTATATCCAAAGGACCAAAAATCATTTGGCAATAAAGATATTTGCACCAGATTGTTCATTGTAGCTCAATTCATTGTTGCCAAGTTATGGAAGAAGCCCAAGTGCCCATCGACCCATGAAAGGATTAATAAATTGTGGTATATGTATTCCATGGAATACTATGCAGCATTAAAAAAAATGAAGACTTTACCTCTTTTATGTTTACATGGAAGGAGCAGGAAAATATTCTTCTTAGTAAAGTATCTCAGGAATGGAAAAAAAAATCCAATGTACTCAGTACTACTGTGAAAACAATTTATAATCACTCACAATTGCATGTGAAAATGAAACACAACTATAGCCTAGGATGAAGGAGGGAAGGAGATGGAGAGGGGAAGGGAGGGGGTGGGTCGGTAGAGGGAGGATTGCTGGGGGACCACACCTATGGAGCATACTGCCAGCACAATTTGGATCTATCAGGTGTAGAACATAAATATCTTAATCCTATAATTGGGTAAAAGTGGTAAAGGTTATGTTGTTTAATAGGTAGTAAGCATTCCAATTTGTACAAATAATCAACATATTGAATCCTATAATGGCATAAATGTATTTATGATCTATATACAAAAGATTTGATTAAAAAAAAAAGGTGATGAAATCATACACACAGAGCAAGTAACTTATATAGGTCCTGTGGCTGCTAGAGATTAAGCTGTGGCTTGAACCCAAATAGTTGGCCTCTAGACCCAGTGTATCTTTGTCTTTAACAAGATTATTTGTCCTAGAAATAAATACTACAAAATGATACTACTATGTTAATAATAGCAATAAATGACCTGTAGAATAGGAGGAATATTCACACATTTTAAACACTTACAGATAACTTACAATATGCTTAATGGGAAGCCAACCTATGTAGTGATTTTTACTTTCCTGATAGAAGAAGAACTCAAATGGGAGTGTGTGATTGAATTTTGGAGCTCTCTCCTACTCTCTTCCAGCTGGTTTATTTAGAGCATTTTAGCATTTTCTAATTGCCTTTTTTTTTTTTTAAGACAGAGTCTCACTTTGTTGCCTTTGGTAGAGTGCTGTCATGTCATAGCTCACAGCAACCTCAGACTCTTAAGCTCAAGTGATTCTCTTGCCTCAGCCTCAAAGTAGCTGGAACTATAGGCACATGCCACAACACCTGGCTATGCAGTCTCTCTGAGGCTCAGGCTAGTCTCGAACCTGTGAATTCAGGCAATCCACTCACCTTGGCCTCCCAGTGTGCTAGGATTACAGTCATGAGCCACCATGCCTGGCATTTCTAATTGCCTTTTTTTTTTTTTTTGTAGAGACAGAGTCTCACTTTTTCGCCCTCGGT